AAAAGTCAGACATTTGCCACAAGGAACTACTGCATCTTTTTCCCAGACAGTGGGTCCCAACATATAACCCTGCATGTGAATAATTCCATATATTAGCAATAGGTATCCCAACTCCTACTAGGCAAAATGTAAAGGTCAGTTCTACGCAGGTTCCTCCATTGCCAGCTTCAGAGCAGTTGGATTTGTGAGAATCATGTCTCAGGGTCCCATCCATTTCTCCTCCGGTTGACCCATTGTTCTTGCTCTGCTTATGTCTGTCTAACTGTCTACCACATCCTCTCAAGAATCTTGGCTCTGAATTATTGCATGAAAAAGGGGTGTAGGCTCTCTTCTGTAGCTGCATCAAGCTGAGGAGAGACAAAATTTTCTTTCAGAGCCAAGAGATCCTTGCTCTCTGTCAGAGGTACAATGAGGCCTGGGCATGGAAGGAGGTAGCAATGGTGTCTAGAAGTGGTATTTCCTAAGTGTGAGTAGGGCTTTGTAACCTGGTGGAGACAAGCTGTGTTATAAAATTTAGTATTATTGGGCAAAAGTTAGAACAGCAACAATTATGACAAATAGTCTGGTGGAAGGAAAAAAAATTCAGTTCTAATAATTCCCTATTGAAACAAAAATTTTCCCTCTAAAATCACCCTCATTTTTATTAAAGAACCAAATTAAGACCAATTTATTTACTGTATTTTTAAAAATATATTTTTATTTATTTCAGAGAGGAAGGGAGAGGGAGAGAGAGAGAGATAGAAACATCAATGATGAGAGGGAATAATTGATTCAGCTGCTTCCTGCATGCCCTCCAGAGCTAGTAGCCCGGACATGTGCCCTTGACCAGAATCAAACCCAGGACCCTTCCACCTGCAGGCTGGCACTTATTCACTGAGCCAAAGTGCTAGGGCTATTTACTGTACTAAGTCTAGTTACAATTTGGCCTGATCGTTTGCATGAACACAATAAGAATAAGTTGATCACATAAGCTATTTGTAAAAAGTATGCTTTGCTGGAATCTCATGAACAAGTTTCATTAATTGTGCAGAGCAAAGAAGCTGAGCCACCTAGCTGCCGTCAGGTTTGCCTGCAATACCTGTAGAGTTGGGTGAATTCCTCAAGTTGATGACCCCAATGATGTCTTGAGGTTCCTTCCTTGCCATCTCAGGAAAGCAACCTTTGCTCCTTACCTGGAAAGACTTCCATGAACCACCTTACCAAGCAAGGTACCAGGCTTTCTCCAAGGTGCTCTTATTGGCTTCATTCCTTAAAACTTTCTGGTGATATCCAGAGTCCAGGCATGTTAGACATGACATTCCAAAGTCTTGGTTAATAAAACCACAATTGGTAATAGTTCTTATTCATGCAAATAAACATATTGTCATGACTCACTCATTAAGAGTTGTCCAATTCTGGAGGGATAAGGTAGAGGGAAAAATATATAATTTACCAAATTGCCTTAAAAATGCTTCCTTATACTGAAAAACAAAAACTTTAAGAATTGGAAATACTTTCAACAAAAGTTATAAGAACTATATAATTATTTTTGGTTCATTCAGCCCCATAATTTTTTGTTTCTCCTGATTTTTCCTGGTAGCACTTTTGTAAATCCAGATAGTCTATAGAGTTCTAATAACTTTCATCTAGTTCGAATAGGATAATCTGAAAATGTCAAAGTCCTTACCATGGATCCCTCCGAAGATGTAACATTTTTCCAAATGCATTATAACAAAACAATGACTGTCTCTAAAATGACATGGTTATGGATTTGATTATAATTCCAGTGACATGGAATCTTGTCCTTTCTGAAAAACACAATATTTCAGAATAACAATTAGAGTTATAAATGAAAGTATATATAGTTATTTATTTGACAAAGCTTCCCATGTACATTAAGCAGAAAATTTTCCTTCATGAGAGAAAACAAACCTTGAGGCATTCCAGGACTTATTGGAAAGACCTAAAGCCAATTCTAGGTCAAGAAAATGTTTCTTAAAATTCAAACCCTGGGCCCTGGCCGGCTTGGCTCAGTGGATAGAGCGTTGGCCTGGGGACTGGAGGGTCCCAGGTTCGATTCTGGTCAAGGGCATGTACCTTGGTTGCAGGCACATCTCTAGTTGGGGGTGTGCAGGAGGCAGCTGATCGATGTTTCTTTCTCATCGATGTTTCTAACTCTCTATCCCTCTCCCTTCCTCTCTGTAAAAAATCAATAAAATATACTTAGATAAAAAAAAAAAAATTCAAACCCTGGGAAGGTTGTCAAACTTATTTTACCAAAAGATCATATAACATTACTAGAGGCCCAGTGCACAAAAACTTTGTGCACTTGGCGGGGGTGTCCCTCAGCCCAGCCTGTGCCCTCTCGCAGTCTGGGACCCCTCAGGGGATGACCACCTGCTGGCTTAGGCCCGCTCCCTGGGTGATTGGGCCTAAGATGGCAATCAGACATCCCTCTGGCAGCCCAGCAGCCCTCAGGGGATGTCCACTTGCCAGCAGTTGGACATCCTTAGTGCTGCTGAGGAGGCAGGAGAGGCTCCCACCACCACCGCTGTACTGGCAGCCATCAGCCTGGCTTGTGGCTGAGCAGAGCTCCTCCCATGTGAGAGCGACCTGACCACCAGAGGGCAGCTCCTACATTGAGAGTCTGCCCCCTGGTGGTCAGTGTGTGTCATAGTGACCAGTCATTCCCAGTCTTTCTGCTGTTAGGGTCAGTTTGTATAATACCTTTTGACTATATAGGATAGAGGCCTGGTGCACGGGTCGGGGCCAGCTGGTTTGCCCTGAAGGGTGTCCTGGATCAGGGTGGGGGTCCCGCTTGGGTGCCTGGCCAGCCTGGATGAGGGGATGATGGCTGTTTGCAGCTGGTCACACCCCCTTCAGGGTGGGGGTCCCCACTGGGGTGCCTGGCCAGTCTGGGTGAGGGGCTGAGGGCTGTTTTCAGGCTGGTGGGTGACTAAAGCCCCCAACCTCTCCTTTTTTTCTTTCTTTTTTTTATTCTGGGATTTATTTACCTTCTATGGCTCTCACTGGAGCTGAGAGCCGGCTTTAGCTCTGAGGTTCAGCTCCATCCAGCTCTGAGACCTCGGCTGCTGAAAGCAGGTATCTGGACTTTGTTTGGGTTCTATAATTGTAACACTGTTGCAGTCCTGCTCGCTCCAGCTCTGACGGCTGAAAGCAGGTTTCTGGGGATTGTTTAGCTTCTATAATTGCAACATAGTTGCTTAGAGTGCAAGCTCAGAGGCCAGCAGTGGCAGGCGGGGAACCTTGGCTTCCTCCATCGCTGGAGCAAGCAAGCCTCCTGTTTGCTTCAGCTGCCTGGCTGTCGGCCGCCATCTTGGGTGGCAGCTAATTTGCATATCTCGCTGATTAGCCAATGGGAAGGGTAGCGAAGTTACAGTTAATTACCATGTTTCTCTATTATTAGATAGGAGGATATAACTCAGGTACAGGCAGATAGAAGAGATGTACAGGGCAAGGTTGGGGGAAGGGGGCGGGGCTTCCATGCTCTCTGAGCCCAGCACTCTCCCTGCAGTTCCACATGTCTACTGTGAGGTCTGACCAAATAATTAAACCAACACCCCCTCCCCTGAGAACTGACCTTTAGACCACTTCACAATGGATATTTCCTTTTCCTTAGACTACATTTCACTTAAGACCACATTCCACTTAAGACCACATTCCACTTGCTAAGACCATTATTTTTCCCCTCAGGACCTGCACAGAGAATTCTCCGCCCAGAAAACGCCTGCCTAGAGTCCTTTAAAACCTCTGACTCCCTGTTTTTGGGTGCTGGCGCCATTTTTCAGGCTCAGCCCATCTGGTTTTCCAGATGACCTAAAAGTTTATAATCCCTTACCACTTTGGCCTTGTGCATTCCTCCTTTGGAGACTCTAACATTTGGTGCTGAAACCTGGGAGGATTCTGAGGATGGGAAGCCATCTCTCTGGCTTCGGTCACCAGGAGTTTGGTACTCAGAGAGTGGTAGGCAGCGGCAGCTTGACCTGAGCTTACCTCCAAATCCTACTCGGGTGGCATGATCACTGGCCTCTCTCCGTATGGGCCCTCCTGAACCAGCCAAGGAGGACGCCAGATCAGGGACCTCTCCTTCCCATTGCTGACCCCGCACTCAATTCCAGCTCATTTCACCTCCGGGAGGTAACAATTGGATCACCCTTCCAGATTTCTGATTTGCCATCTCAGACAAAAGACCTAGCGCTAGGCCAGAAATCCTCCCCAGTCCAGCTTCGGCCCCAAGACCAGGTCCCACAGTCTTCCTCGCTGCAGGGGATGCCTGCCACAGAAATTAGACTGTCCTCTCTCTGGAGCCTGAATAGGTGGCAAGGACACCCTCCCTTTAGTCTTGCTCCCCAGGTCTCCCTTTGTTTCTTACCTCCTCTTCCTAATTTGCATCACAGGGAATTTTTTTCTGCCACCCCCCAAAAAACAACAACAACAACAACAGCAGCACTCCTCTGGGATGTCACCTCCGTAACCTTAACACACTCAGCCTTTCCATGGCGGTCCAGCCAAAGCATCTTATCTACAATTTAAATTATTCACACTAAATTATTTAACATTTTCTGGGACTTAAACAATTTTTGTAACTGCACTGGTCAAAGATTCCCTACATCCAGGTCTTCTTTACATTCCGTAATCCTCCTTCTCTGCGTCAAACCTGCTCTGCCTATCAAATCTTACTTCTCCCCTCAAAGCCTCTCCTGCCGACCTCAGACCTTGACTCCCTGGGGTTTCTGACCCATCCCTCCCCGGCCTGTTGGGTTCCTCAGATCCTCCCTTTGACCCTTACGACCACTCAATTCTCTGCGTCATTCCGGGTCCCTCGAATCCGCCTCCTTATGTCCCTCCTCTGACTACCCCCTGTCTTCTTCCACCCCCTCAACCTCCTTACCAAGGCCTCTCTTACTAGTTCTGGGACAGCACAGGCTCCAGCTCCCATCCTTCCTCTCTGAGAGGTGGCCGGGCCTGAGGGCATTGTCCAGGTACACATCCCATTTTCCATGTCCAACCTCACACAGATTGAGAGGTGTCTCAGGTCTTTTTCCATAGACGCCGCCACCTTTACTAAGGAATTTGAGTACCTGACCCACTCCTATGACCTGACCTGGTACAACATCTGTGTCATCCTGTTCTCCTCTCTAAGCCTAAAGGAGAAAGCACGTCTGGCGAGCAGCTTGGGACCATGGCAGTGCCCTCCATGGACATGATGCAGTGGCCCACCTGGTTGGTGCTGATGCGGCCCCCCAAACTGACCGAAGATGGGACTATCAGGTCAAGTCTCCAGGGTGTCAGCTCTGTAGCCATATAATCCTCTGTCTCATTGCCAGACTCAAAAAGCCTGCCCATAAGGCAGTCAACTATGACAAACTTAAGATCACTGAAGGCCCTGACAAAAACCCAGCTCTCTTCCTCTCCCACCTCACAGAAATTTACAACCCTAGATCCCACTTGCCCAGAGGGAACCCTTCTTCTGAACACCCATTTTATATCTCAATCAGCCCCTGACATACACCAAAAACTCTGAAAATGGATACCCGTTCACAAGCCCCTCAAAAAGATCTCCTTAACCTGGCCTTTAAGGTCTGTAATAATAGAGACGAGGAGACCCAAATCCAAAAACAAAAGTGAGATCAGGTCAAGGCTGAGGCCCAGGAGGCCTTTCAGTTCCTGGCCACTGCTCTCACAAACCCCAAACAAAATGCCGATCCTCCAACCAAGGGTAAGTCAGGGGCTAAGCCTCCTCTGGGCCCATGCTTCAAGATCCCCCCACCTGGGCCCTGCCCAAGGTGCTGAAGGGACGTCCACTGAAAATCCAGGCTAGGCAGCTTAGACCCCTGACCTTTCCCTCCCTAAAGATAACCTCTCCGCCTCAGTTGTATGTTAGCACCAGGCCCAGAAAAGCAGCATAACCAGACAAGCGACACTGTGGCAGCCTCAGGAGCAGCTTTTACCTCCCAATCACTCAACAGGACCACTTTCAAGCCGTCACCAACCAATCTCTTGGGGAAACCATGCTGCTGCGACCCCTCGCTCCAACCAGGAGGAATCTATACAGTGTTCCAGCCAACTACAATCAAAGTCCATCCCCTATGATCTCCACGTCCCCCCTCAGCAGGAAGTAACTACGGAAGATAAGACCTTCATCTCTATTCTACAAAACAAAAAGGCTGGAATGTTAAGTCTGATCAAATAATTGTATCAATATCCCTCACCTGGGACCTGACCTTTAGACCACTTCACAATGGACATTCCCTTTTGCTTAGACAAAAATTTCACTTGCTAAGACCACATTACACTTGCTAAGACCATTATCTTTCCTCCCCAGGACCCACCCAGAGAATTCTCTACCCAGAAAAAGCCTGCCTACAGTCCTTTAAAACCTCTGACTCCCTGGCTTTAGGAGGGAGTTTTGGGGCTCAGCCCATCTGGTATCCAGATGACCTAATAAGCTCATAATTCTTTACCCCTTTTTGCATCATGCATTCCTTCTTCAGTGACCCTAACATACACCAACCCAGCTCTCCAAAACCCATCCTTTTTGGAGTTTGTGGCAGCTTTATTAAATTACTAGCCATTGGTGACAGATTCAATCTCTAGCCCCTCCTCTCCCCCAAGGTGAGGGGTGGGACTGAAATTTTCAACCCTCTAATCACTGGTTAGTTCCCCTGATGTCCAGCTCCATCCTTCAGGACTTTACAGAATCACCTCATTCACAAACAAAGACATCTTTATGACTCTTATCACAGGAAATTCTAAGGATTTTAAGAGCTTTATTTGAGGTGAAGCTCAAATATATATATAATAAATCACAACCACAATGATTTCAAATTGACCTCTTACTAGTGATACCAACTAATATATGAGTCCATCTGCCTGTGCACACAGGCCAAAATAAATGCACAAGCAGGAGTTTGCAGTGTAGAATGGAAGACATTTAATATTAAATTGGCCAATCCACAGATGGGGAGCTAGTGCTATGAAAGACTCCACTCCCTGGTGGAGTGAAGGTTCCAGATTATATAGGGCAAAATCACAAGACACCATGGGTTAGGGCAGTGGTTCTCAACCTTCTGGCCCTTTAAATACAGTTCCTCATGTTGTGACCCAACCATAAAATTATTTTCGTCGCTACTTCCTAACTGTAATGTTGCTACTATTATGAATCGTAATGTAAATATCTGATATGCAGGATGGTCTTAGGCGACCCCTGTGAAAGGGTCGTTCGACCGCCAAAGGGGTCGCGACCCACAGGTTGAGAACCGCTGGGTTAGGGGGTTGAGGTTATACTTGGAACTGATTGGTTGTGTTGGCAGTGAAAACAGAATCAGGTGTTAGACTGGTGGAGTCAGATTGAATCTTGGTTCAGCAACCTCAGTACTTGAGTTCTGGAGAAAGGTAATGGTAGCACGAGGGGATGGGATATTAGCAGATATCATCAGATTTCCAGGTCTCCACTGCTTGGTTGGTACCAGGGCAGTGGTCACTAGTCAATGCAGGTGGTCCTGAGGCAGCCATGGCATGGCTTGTATGATTTTGCTGCTTTTCTGGACCTGGAGCTGAGAAGCAACTAAGGCCTAGAGGTATTTGATGTGGGTCAGAAACTCATTGTCCTGGGTGCTCAATGCTTAAGGGCTACTCTCCAGCTCCCCAGCTCCACCTCCAAGGCAGGGAGGAATCTACTACATGAGTAGTGACAGGCCAGGGGAGGAAAGGCCAGGGAGGGTCTGAACCACATGACCAGCTTTATGCTGGAGGAGGAAAGATTACCTTGAAGCCAGGTCCTTATTTTCCCAGTTTTGCCAGTTGTTAGGCACCCAGGGCTTTCTGCCCTGTGTCTTTCTGTACGCTGCCTATATAGTCTTTGCTCTGCTCATGTCTAATTGTCCACCACAGGTTTGCCAGTCTCATTTATGACTCCCAATCGGTGCATTTTTAAGTCTATATCTGATTTTTAAAAACTCATAAAACCAAAAAGCAGTATTTTGAAAGGTTTTGCACTTGTATGGTGTGACCGCTGCATCCATTTGCAGCTAGGGTTCAAGGTCTGGAGAAGGGGCTGCGCACAAATGGATATACTAGACAAGAAATATAAATTTAAATGCGTGGGGAGCCAGGCAGAGGCTTCACTCTAGCAGAGAAGCTCTCTTGACTTCTCCATATCCTTTGCTTTTTATTTACTAGAATACACATTTGCCCTTTAGCAAAGCAAACAGACATATAAATGGCAAAGTTTGGTAAACAATAAAAGAATTATCAGGTTAGGGGCTTGCCTTTAGCCATTCAGCCAGCAGCAGGCAATATTATGCTGATTTTCAGCCCTTGCTGAATACCAAAGTCCATCAGCCTTCTAACGGACTTCCCGCATTTGTGTGTTAACTGCTTATTGGTCTTAGCCTCCAGCAGTGTGGGAGAGTAAATTCATTTTTTAAAAATTTAAAAATCACATAGTAAGTGCCATGCAGATTATTTTAGGCTCATAATGTATTCTTTTTTAAAAACGTTTTTCTTATTGATTTTAGAGAGGGAGAGGGATAGAGATAAAAACTTGTGAGGAAAAAACATGGATTGACTGCCCCCTACTGGAGATGCGCACGTGCCCTGATTGGGAATAGAACTGGGGACCTCTTGGTTCCTGGGTCCACGCTCAATCACTGAGCCACCAGCCCAGCCCGTGATTTTTTTTTTTAAACTGGGTGCTTGCTTGTGTTCAAAGGAAACAGATTGTTCCTCCCCCAAACTTTTTTGTTTTTCCTAAAGAAAAGCTAACGAATATCCAGGGGCCAGTATCCGTGGGATGTCCTAGATATTCTGAATCAATGAACTGTCCTCACTGGGGGCAGCGCGAACAGTTCACCGGAGGAGGGGCGCGCTGGGGGTGAGGGGCGCGCAGAACCGTGGTTCTGAGGACCGACGCGCAGACCATTTTCAGCACTTCCTCCAGCCCCGCGAGCACAGCGCACCGCGCTTGCGTGCGCGTGGTGGGGGAGGGGTTGCTGTCGTGTGTGGCAGGGGTGGGGTGCTTGCCGCTCAGGTCCTAGTAGCTGACAAAAGACTTTTAAATACTCTCCAAATAATAAAACTTGGCTTCTCTCTCGCCCATGAGCCATTTATAGGGGAAGCGAAAATCCCTGTATGATTTCGGGGTGCGACAAAGTGGACGACCCACCAGCCAGAGTGAAGCGCTCCGTTGACAGGACCCGCGGGTGGCGTACACCACTGCCAGGACCGTGCGTGCAGCGTCCAGTCCGTTCCCGCCCTGCGCATCCTGGTCGGCATCCTTGTTTCGGTCCAGCGCAACGTCTGCGCTTTCCGTCTGGCCCCCATCCCGGTCTGCGCTCTCCGGCCTCTCCCCCTCGCCCTCTCCAAGGGTACCCGCCGCAGCCCTGGCGCTCCCCGCGGGCCCCGCCGAGGCCGCCTGCGCCCTGTGCCAGCGCGCGCCCCGCGAGCCGGTGCGCGCCGACTGCGGCCACCGCTTCTGCCGGGCGTGCGTGGTGCGCTTCTGGGCCGAGGAGGACGGGCCCTTCCCTTGCCCCGAGTGCGCCGATGACTGCTGGCAGCGCGCTGTGGAGCCCGGCCGCCCGCCGCTCAGCCGCCGCCTGCTGGCGCTCGAGGAGGCGGCCGCCGCACCCACGCGCGACGGCGCGGCCTCGGAGGCGGCGCTGCAGCTGCTGTGTCGCGTCGACGGGGGTCCGCTGTGCGCCGCCTGCCGAATGGCGGCGGGGCCCGAGCCACCCGAGTGGGAGCCCCGCTGGAGGAAGGTGCTGCGCGGCAAGGTGCGCCGGAGCGGTGCCTGTGCGCTGCTACCCCCTTCCCGACCCCGGTCCCTGCCCCGGGACGGCGCCCTGACCACCTTCCCCGACCTCCGGGCAGTGCCCTGTTATCGGATCCCCCCCCCCCCACCCCCGGAAGGTGTCTGTGGGCCTCCCCATCTTCTCCTGCCCACCCTTTCCCCTTTGGGCTCTCCTTCCTCCCCCCCCCCCCCCGCCCCCACGGTGTCCTGCTGTGGGGTCCGCCCCTGTGCCTAGTTCTCTAGGCCTTCCTGCCCCTCCTCCTTGCATGACCTAACCCGGTGGCAGCCTGCCCCCCACGGGTGAACCCTCTGAAGCAGATAAGGCCCCTCCCTGTTCCAGGCCCCGCCCCTCCCACACACTTCTCATCCCCTCTTAGCCCGCCCTGAGCCTCTCCATTTACTTTGTTCTGGCACCTTATCCGCACGGCATGTGGTATCTGACCCTGGGTGGAAACCCGCCAACTGGCAACCCAGGGACCCACCCTTTTAGGTTGTGGGCGCTCAGGGTAATTTATGAGAGAGTAGCCAGCCCGACTAGCTGGATTCTCCTCCTGCTGGGGGCTCTTCCCACCCACCTGGTCAGTGCACAGCCAGTGACATGCCTAATGGGCCCTGGGAGAGGCCGTGCTCACCCCCAAGGGGGCACGTGCAGGGTCTTGTGGGATTCCTAGAGTGGCCCTGCCAGGGCCATTCCTTCTGAAAAGGATATGGTGACTATTTTTGGCAAATATCCATCCCAGAGCTAGTGACAGTAACACTGGAAACTGAGGGGACACGCATGTCCAGTTATTTGGTTAGATTCTTAGCACAGGATTTTCTAAGAGGCTCCTTCCGGGAGCAAGCTTAGGGGGGTCACTAAGACCCCTCTGGTACCTGCAGCCTGTTTGATGAGTCTGGCGGGCCGGGACCGTTCAGTGGGACCTTCTGGATAGTCAGATCTTTAGTAAACTCCGGAGGTGTGATGTCCCCTGGATTGGGCTAAGGGAGGGGTGTCCCAGACCTTCAGGGGTGGTCACCCACCTGGTAACCAGCTTCTCTTCCCAGGAGAATAAGGGGTCTGTGGAGATCATGAGGAAAGATCTGAATGATGCCCGGGACCTGCATGGCCAGGCCGAGTCTGCTGCTGCTGTGTGGAAGGCAAGTAGGAGTGGACCTGGGTCTGTGGGAATGAGGGGACATGGGTATGTATGTCCTCTTGACTCTACCTGGCAGGGCCTTGGGAAGGAACTGAGCCCTCGGTAGCAAACCTTTTCTCCTTGAAGTGGTCAGCATGGGGCTGGGGTCCTGGGTGCAGCCCAGGACACAGGTGTCCTTCCCTGCCACCTGCCCTGCAGGGACACGTGATGGACCGCAGGAAGAAGGCCCTGACCGACTACAAGAAGCTCCGGGCTTTCTTTGTGGAGGAGGAACAGCGCTTCCTGCAGGAGGCAGAAAAAGAGGAAGGGTCCCCCGAAGATGAGGATGCTGACCCTGCAGAGAGGTTCAGGTCCCTCCTGCAGGCCCTGTCGGAGCTGGAGCGGAGGCACCGCAACCTGGGCCTTAGCATGCTGCTCCAGGTGGGCCCTGGCCCCATCTTGAAAGCCTTTAGCTACCAAGAGAGGGCTTACGGCGAGGCCTGGCCTTTGTTTGGGGCTGAATTTCAGGATGAGTAATCCAGCAGACGCCCCAGCCTCCATGTTACTGGTGATCTTTCATGAGGCAGGGCTGCTCCCCAATATTGAAGCACCGGGCCCTTGTCCTACCCTAGCACTCTGCAGGCAGGAGCTGGCCGTGGGGTGCAGGAGCACAGGGTCCCCAGGAAGGTGATGGCCATCTGACTCTTTTCCTACATGTCCTCACTCACTATGTCTGAGGCCAGGCCCTGGAGGCTCTGGGTTCTTTGTGCCCCCTCTGATCTGAGCCAGCAGCCCCCACCCTCCCCTTCTCTGGGCTGGGAAGTGCCATTTCACTCGGAATGCTTGTTATCAGCTGCTGGTAGGTGGTGGTGTGGGGTGATCATCATAGGAGGCTTGGCTTCAGCCTTGGGGAGCTGCCTGTGGTGGTGGAACTGGGGCATGGCCATCTGGATTTTAGGACAGCAGCTCCCTCTGTCTCTTTCTCTCTCTCCCTGTCTCTCTCTCTCTCTGCAGTGATGCCAGGCAGAGGAAGCTGGCTCAACCATGGCCCGGCCCCCAGCAGCTCCATCGCCTCGTTCAGGACCCCGGAGGGTCCTAGGTGTGACTGGGCTTCGTACCGTAGGTGCCACCTTGGGTTGTCCCCTCAGTAGTGACGGTGTTTTCTTTCCTTGGGTGTTTGTGTTTCTGGGCTATAAAAGCCAGCCTCACTGTGGAGACCTGAAGCGGTGGGGAGGCATCAGTAACTCAAGTGTATCCTGTTCTTTCTCTTCATAAAGCTGTTATTGCTGCCGCCGAGTCTCTTCACATCCGCCTGGGATCTCTGTGACAGCTGTTGTCACAGCTGCCGGGTGGCTGGGTTGTCCAGACCTGGCACCTGCCCCCTTTAAATGCTGCCATGATGGGCCTTGTTCTACTCAGGTTTAAAGACCCCTGTCTGAGCATCGGGCAGAAGAGTTAAGGTTAAATTTGGGGTGATCACTGAAGGAAAGGGAGTCCGAGGATACCCAGATGGGGAGGATGGGCAGGTAGATCCACCTGCCACTCCTGTTTAAGGCCCTGACAGGTTGTGTCCCCCACAAATCACCCACAGCTCAATTTCTCTGCAGTAATGGCCCCGGGTTCTCCTGGGTGTGGGAAGTCAGCCCCCTGTGCACCTCACCTGCAGCTCTGTTCCCGGTGTCTCCCAGTGTGCCCACTTGCCCTGCTCCTCCTCCATCACTGTCCCTTAGGAGCAGGTTGGCGTGCTGTCATTCTTGCTGTACCCCTGGCTTCCCTTGCTGTGTAGTTCCTCCCATAGATGAACTTAGCTAAACCCATGACTTAGTGGCAGTGTCATTGTGTAGATGAGTTCAAGGGACAAAAATGCCACATGGGGACAGGACAGGGGTCCCAGTGCGTGGGCATAGACCTTCAGGATGGCTCTGAGTCACTCCAGATCAGCAGCTTTGTGATCAGTGGGCCATTTCTGGACAGAGCTTATTAGACTTGGGTGCCACTGGCTCAAGTTTGAGGCTGGCACTCCTGGAGCCCGGATCAGGGTTTGCTCGCATCCCTCCTCCCTCTGTCTCCTCTAGTGCCCTGTGATTGGGTGGAGCTTCTGCAGGTGGGTCTTCTCTTTGATGTGCTCCCACTTCCCACCTTCGTCAAGTGGGGAACCATGGGAGCTGCTCCAGGCTCCTGTGCACTGAGCGCAGATGCCCGCTGGGAGGCCTCTCAGGTGGAGACTTCGGTGCAGCTCAGTAAGATGGTGCCCAGCGGGGCGGGGGCTGGGGAGAGACACAAGATCCACCAGCACAGACTTGCTTGCATTCTGACAGTGGCGAGCATCTTTGGTGCTCTCGCATGCTGTCTATGTAAGGGTTGTCCCCTCAGTAGTGACGGTGGTTTATTAGAGAGGTAGTTTATTAGAGACAGTCATCATCTTGTCAAACGGAATGCCTTTGGCTAAATAATCTTAAAGAATCCTGACCCCCTCGATCAGGGGTCAGTACTAGGATGCCCTCTGGCCTCTTTCCAACTCTGGGGGACCCAGGAGGAAGTTTTGTGTCCCGACTTGGGCTCCAGTGAGGCCTGGCTGCCTCCTCACAGCTCCTCTGAGTGTGTGGGCAGTGAGAGCTCTGACAGCCTGTTTATTTATGGGCTCATATAGTCAGTACTGAGATGAGGCCCTCCACTTGTCATTTTATCAGAGTTCAGTGGGAAAGTCACCAGTATTTGGGAACTGCGGCCCATTTTCAATTTCAGATCTGTAGTCCAAGGGGAGCAGAGACAGATGCTGAGGATTGTTTCATGCTTGGTGGGAGTGTCAGTGCATCATGTTTTGAGGAGATACTGACACCTCATGCGATCCAGACTTGCATGTGGAGACACTGGTGAGCTGCTCCCAGCAGAAATCAGAAACCCGATGACTGCAAGGTGTGAGTCGGGATCCCATGTGGGGTATGAACAGGTGCTACCATTTTGGATAGTACCCTGAGGTTCAAACTAACACATGTGGGAGTCAGGCCAACAGGAGGTTAGGGGGAACCAGTCCCCAAGACCAGCCTTGCTTCCCACCCATGTGCAAATTCCAGAGTTTCCCATACCCTCTTGGAGCTTGAGAATCCACTATAAATGCTCCCAGAGCCACTGAAGGTCATTTGCTCACGGTGATGGTTTATTATGGGAAGAAGGGACAGGTTAATAGGCTGCCAACCTATCCTAGAGGCAGGGTGCTACCTTCAGGGGAGGCGGGGCAGGCTGCTCTGCAGACCCGTGGACTGATGCCTTCCCCAGCTCTGCCCTGCGCTGAGGAAGTGGGGGTCACAGAACACGAGAACTACCCGTAGTAGTTTGATGGGAACGCTGCCATAGCTTTATCGCCACCAGTGGACAGGCTGGTGCTTGGAATGGTTTCCACAGGTGAGGCGGTTGGCTTATAAAAAATGCCTCTTTAAGATCATGGCCAGAGTAGCAGACAGATGGAACCATAGAAGATATTTGCAGTGATTCACACTGAGACTGTGCAGGCAACTCCTGCAGATCTGGAAGAGCCAAAAGGAGCTGGATGAAAACACAAGACAGGGTGTGGACAAGCAGGTGAGAAGAGTAGCTAGAAGCACAGGGGGAGAAGGTCAAACATGTTAAACCAGAGAGAAAGCATGCCTGCCCCTGGCTCTGCATTGCTGCTGCATGTGCAGCACAGCTGCCAGATGTCATCTGATTTAGGGTGTACCTGTACATGGTTGCAGAGGAAGCGGACAGGGGTGCAGGTGCTCCTTACTGGAGAAAGTGGGAGGTCAAATGGGGGATGGAGGCCATGGAGAAGGGACACAGGAGCTGGACTGGGCCACTCAATGGGGCTGAGGGCACCGTGCTGATACAAATGAAAGCCAAACAACACAGCACTATTTATGTAAACTTACAATGCATGCACACAACTAATGGTTGCAAGAACACTTAAAATTGACAAATGGAACCCATTAGGATAGTTGTCTGTGGGGCAGGGGAGGAGGTTGAGTTGAGGGTGAATTTTCTCTGGACTCCCACTTTGAGACTCCTCAAGAGGCTGAGCCCGCCCTGCCCCCCGCCCCAGTATTCTTTGCTTCTCTGGCAACCTGAAAGCCCTTCGCCCTGGATGTCCCTGTGCTGGCTCAGCTGTTTTTACTGGTCTAAAGACCTACCTGAGCGCCACCATTTCTTGGGAGGGTTGGACCTGGGAAGGGGTCAGGAGCCCCAGACAAACTCGGTAATTGAGGACATGGCTCAGACAGGCAGGTTCCTGGGGTGGAGGAAAGTGGCAAAGCAGTTTTGTGGGTCCCAGAGCCCCACCTCCCCCAAGTCAGGGGGCTCAAGGCTGAGGTTCCTTATTTCCTAGCAGGACTCTAACTCAGTTTAGAGACATGGTTTAAATGATACATAGACACCATGGTCCTTTTTCTTTATAAGATAACTAGGGGCCCGGTGCACGAAATTCGTGCACTGGGTGTGTGTGGGGGGGAGTGTCCCTCAGCCCAGCCTGCCCCCTCTCACATACTGGGAGCCCTCAGGCGTTGACCCCCATCACCCTCCAATCGCAGGATCGGCCCCTTGCCCAGGCCTGACGCCTCCGACAGGCCTGGGCAGGGGACCCTCATTTCCCCCCATCACTGGTTCTGCCCCCAGCCCAGGCCTGATGCCTCTGGCCCAGGCATCAGGCCTGGGCAGGAGACCCCCAGACCCCTCCGATTGCTGGCTCTGCCCCTTGCCCAGGCCTGATGCCTCGGCCAGAGGAGTTGACCCTCATCACCCTCCGATCACCAATCACCGGATCGGCCCCTTGACCAGGCCTGAGGCCTCCGGCAGAGGTGTCAGGCCTGGGCAGGGGATCCCCAGCTCCCCGCGGTTGCAGGCTCCGCCCCTGCCCAGGCCTAACGCCTCTGGCTGAGGCGTCCGGCCCGGGCAGCGGGGACCCGCAGCTGCAGTGGCCCCGCGATCGTGGGCTTCGCTTTAGGCCCAGGCAAGGGACCCCTAGCTCCTGGGACTGCCAGCTTCGACCGTGCCCAGCTCCCATTGCTGGCTCCACCCCTACTTCCTGCTATCACTGGCCAGGGCGGAAAAGGCACCTGATTCTCCGATCATCCCCAGGGCCGCCTTTGCCCTGCCCCCCGGCTCTTAGCTCCCCCCTGGGTTTCCGATCACTGTCAGTGGCAGGGGGCTTCTTCCTGCTTTTCCTTTCGCCTCCCTGCATTGTGCCTACATATGCAAATTAACCACCATCTTGTTGGCAGTTAACTGCCAATCTTAGTTGGCAGTTAACTGCCAATCTTAGTTGGCAGTTAATTTGCATATAGCCCTGATTAGCCAATGAAAAGGGTAGTGTCGTACGCCAATTACCATTTTTCTCTTTTATTAGTGTAGATTTTTGGGTCCTGAGGTTTATTAGATCTCCATTCCTTAAGAGGGATGCGGTAGTGAGCCACTTGGCAGATCTTGTAAGTATTTATAAAACTACTAATGAAGATGGCTCAGTCAAAACATGTCATCAGTACACACAGTCAAGTAACCAGTCAGAATTTAACAGGACACAGTATCAACCTCTAGTTTTGTGTGTGTTTGTTTTTGTTAAGGCAGTTTTGCACAAATAAGAGTGGGCAGATTTAAACAAAATCAACAGGAAAGGGAACATACTGGTCATAGATAAAGATGCCTCGTGTCTCCTGTGTGTCAGAACAAGACACCCCTCTTCTGAGAGTTTCAGTCCCACACATTGGATAAGCCACCGAATTTGTTATGTGATGAGAAAATGGCGTCTCCTGCACCGCAGCTCTCCTGGTTGGTGGCCTTTGCGCAAGGACTCAGTTCTTTAAAGACTCGATTCCGTGGTTGGGCTCTAGAACACCACTCCTTTGTCCTGAGACCCAGGCGGCCTGGGGAGAGCTGGCGACAGCACCCGGTCTGCATCCACACTGGGGCCTCGCCCGTCTTGGGCTCATGGTTGGGGCCCCGACCCAGCTGCAGGGGGTGGGGTGGGGCATAAGCACTGCTTC